GAAGAAGAAGAAGAAGAAGAAGAAGAAGAAGAAGAAGAAGAAGAAGAAGAAGAAGAAGAAGAAGAATTGAGCCCTGCTGGGGGCATTAGATATATTAGGTACTTTTCTGTTGCTGTGATTAAAAAGTGTTTAAATGCCTGAGGCTATGAGGGGCATTCTCATTCCAACTACCACAGTTGGGTCCCAGCCCTTGGCCTTGGATACCATTTGGGAGAAAGCCAATCTGAAAATAATGCCCAAGCCCTGTATACAGGAGCCTCCGCCTCCGGGTTTCTGCAAGACGTTGCCTTGGCCGTGAGAATAGAGGTCAGAGGTGTGGGTCACCTCCCAGGACCGCAGTTTTGTGCCTTTCTGTAGCCTCCCCAGCATGGTTACACTACAGAAAAGGCTGAATGGAACCCCAGCTCCCCTTGAGCTGACCTCACCTTGGTCGCTATTTGGCAAAATCATTCGGCTCATCTTGGTTCCTGATAAAGCAAATCGTGACGACTGCCGTTGGCAACCATCCTTGGCTGGAGTCTTTAGGAAGTGCCTCCAGCTCCGCTCTGACTCTACCCCACCTAGCATGTCATCAGCGCCCCTTGGAAACAGTGCTGTGCCTAAGCTGCTGCCCCCTCTCCTTCTAGTCATCATTTCCTGCTGGAAAACCCCCCTTACACTTAACTCCCTTTAAAACTCACAGCATAAAATTCATCAGGATGATCACGGCAGGTACACAATTAAGTGGTGATTTCAACATCCCTTGTGCTGTCCAGCCGTTACCCACAAACTTCATTTATTCTTCAATGTCCAAGTCAGGACTCCACCAGACAGCTTTCCCCCCCCCCCCCTTCTGCTGCTGAGGCTGACCTGGGCCATGGGCACGTACTTGTATGGCAGACACTCTACCACTGAGCTGCATGTCCGGACCGGCACACTCTCACCGCCTTACCCTTCCTGCAAACCTGTAACATTGGGGCCAGGCCTGCAGAGCCAAAGCTGCAGGCTCTCCATGCCACAGTACCGTGCATGGTTGGGGCTCTGTGCATGATCGCTGCTCCCTCCAATAGCACAAACCTCAAGACTGGGGTACCGGAGCATCCATCCCTCCCGTGGGGACCTACTGCTTACATAGCCCTAGCCTCTAATCTTTCATTTATTGAGCACGAAGTGTGTGGCCAGCACCAACTGGGGCATTAGAAACAGATCAACCCTGAGCTGCTTCAAAACACTGTGTGCCCTGAAGTACCTCCAGGTAAGGAAACCCCAATGTCAGTGGAGCATGCGCACACACACACACACACACACACACACACACACACACACACACACCTGGCTTCTACAGAGAACAGCCTGTCCACAGACATCGTAGGCTCTCCATTTTCTCATGGCTGGGGTAGGTGAGGTCACACAGGTGTATTTCAGTTTGGCTCTGGTTGTGGTCCTGGGGCATCCGCATCTGCTAGGCAAGCTCTCTACATCGAGCTGCACCCCGACCCTGCACTCTGGCCCTGCACCCCAGCCCCGCAGGTCTCTCCCTGCCCAGGCAATGGGAAGCTGCTCTCCTGATGCATTCCCTGCCTGTTACCAGCTTCCCTTTAGCACTCAGAAGGCCCCTGATATCTGGATACTTCTCACTCCCGTTTACAGTTGGGAAAGTGTCAGAGTCCAGCTCTGACCTGTCAAAGGGTTCTTGCAAGGGAGGAGAGGGGAATGAGGAAGTATTAGCTAGAAATATAGGCAGAGACACAGAATAGCTTAGGGAGGGCCCTGGGTCAATACCCAGCCACCCAGAGTGTTAGTCTAATGGGCATTTTATCCATTGCCAAGGGGAGAGGCAAAAGACCTCCCCCTTTCAAGATCAAAGCACAACACCCAGTCAAGTGTAGACCCTTCCAAACACCTGGTAACCACACCCCTGGCCAAATCATTCTATTATGCAGCCCAGCTGGGCAAAGCAAGCTCCGATCCTCCGACCTTGAATAAGGCCTTACTAGGGAGCCTTTGTGGGCCACCACAAGAGAGCCAGGTTCATCCAGATCAGGATTCATGATCACACAGGGTATGCCTGCCCAAGAAATCAAATCCAGGTCTGTCCAGGTGTAGCAGGAATCTTAAAAGTTCTTATTAATAAAATCAAACCTGAGGCGAGTTATTGGGGTCCATGCTGGTAGATCAGAGAGACAGAACAAGCCACAGCTATCTCACCTCGCCGGATCCTCAGCTGGTCTTGTCTCCTCAGACTGGAGGCCTCTGAGTCCTCATCCGGAATGGGTCTCAGCTGAATTACTGCTCAAAAGCCTGAAGCTTAACCAGGCCAAATGCTTAACCAGCCAAATGCCTAGTTTTTGGTCCTCACGCCTTATATATCTTTCTGCTTTCTACCACCACTCCCTGGGATTAAAGGCTGGCTTTCTGGGATTAAAGGTGTGTCACCATGCTTGGCTATTTCCAATGTGGCCTTGAACTCACAGAGATCCAGAGGGATTTCTATCTCTGGAATGCTAGGATTAAAGGTGTGAGTGCCACCATTTTCTAGCCTTTGTATCTAGTGGCTGTCTGTTCTCTGACCCCAGATAAATTTATTAGAGTACACAATATTTTGGGGAACACAATACCACCACAGTCCAGGTTTGACTAAGTGGTCACCCTTCACTTAGTCAAAGCCTGTACTTGCTCCCTTGGCATCTGACTGCCTGTTCCAGAAGCATCACGCACATCTCCCTGTGGACCTGAACTGAAGTCAAAGCCCACTTCCTGCACATGTGGTGTTTTTTGATCATGGTCAATGCTACTGGTAGATGTCGCCTTGCACAGATTGCCCACTCTGGAAGGACAGGAACTTAGGTCAATGGGTGACATCCTGCTGTGATATCCTCCCTCCCCTGCTTCCAGGGAAGATGCCTCAGTGAGCCACCTCTTCTTCCATGTCCCGTGTCATATGCAGAGCCCAAAGTTGGTTTCCGACATCTGGGCATGGTGATGTAGGCCTCAAGTCTCAGCACGTAGGAGGTGGAGTTCAAGGTCATCCTCAGCTACGCAGGAAGTTGAAGGCCTAAGCCCATTCAGTATCAGGAGATTAAAAAAAAAAAAAACGGTTTCTGAGGCCAAGGTCACTTCTGTTGGAGGCTGTCTAGGGATGAAGGGGACACATGCAGTGGGACACATGGAATTAAATTTGTTTGAACTGAATGTCAACATCCTCATTCCCCCCCCCACCTCCCGACCACAGGACTCCTGGCTGCCTCCTGCATTTGAGCCCAGATACCCTTAGCCTTGCCCAGTGGCTCCCCGGGGCTCAGCACCTGCTCTTGGCCAACACTCCCATTCGCTTTAGCTGCTCATGTCTGTTTCGAAGCTGTGTTTTGTGTTTAGCCATTTCTTTTAAATTTGTTATATAAATGATCGCCCTTCACTTAGTCTCACAATTGTATCGTGGTCATCAAACATTATATTAGTCATTCAACCAAGGCCAGTCACTGGCTTCTAGTGGCTGATGCAAGTCTCTGGAATAACAAGCAGCTTGAAGAATCCATGATTCAAATGGCCTGACCTCCAATTGTCCATTCACTGAAGCAAGGTCCTGGGACATAGGAAAACATCCAGTCATGACCTGCCCAGACC